TAGTGGTGTGATCTTATTGACGCAAAGAAATGTATGAGTGTATCAAAAAGATAAAGGCAATGTTCAAAAATTTCAAAAGGAGGTAATGTCAAAATTTCATCTTTTGGTAATGACCACGAGTTGTTTTGGGCAAACAATCAAGGTATTTTATTCTGAGGTTTGAGACAGGGTAAGAAAGGTCTAATATTTCCATATGTCAAAAATCTATAATTCTTGAAGAATTAAAAGAATCATTAATTCATTTAATATTCGAAGAACTAAAGATTAAAATTTGTTCAATTGCTCCACCTTAGAAAGCAGCATAAATTCATTCATTTAAAAGATTAAGCAAACATGAAAGATCAAAGACATGTTCAAACAAAACAATCCTCTAAGTGCAAATGGTATATGCCATGCCCCCTTCTTTGGCAAGTGCCTTACAGTTTTCAGAGGAATGTTTGGGGCTTCTTATGTGGTAACAGCTAACAGCTTCAACATCGTAGCCCTTAGGATATGGGGATTCTTTTTTTAGATCATCCTGGTAGGCTTTGTCCTACAATCAGCTGATCAGGCTCCCACTGTATTGTTTTCAGTTTTTTTCTTTTGATGTTACAATCTTGCTTCCATTTGGTGTCATGTGGTTAAAACCACTTCATCGAATCCTCCATGAAGAAATTTCATGTTTATGAAAATGCTTAAAAATGAAATGTAGATGCACAACGCAAAATGAAAAAATTGCATGAAATGTTCGAGGCATTGATCCAGAAAAGTGCCCATTATTATAAATAATCCTTATTTCGACATAAATGTTTTATCTTGTAAGAGACATAAAAATAATCAAAGGTACATTCGGACTAAATCCTCTAGACCCCGAACAGCTTCCAGCAAGTTGACAAGTCTTCTGTTTTCATCTGTCACTGGTTGTATGCCTTGTTGGACCACTCCAGCTTCCCTTGCCAGGCCGTGTAGATGGCGAGCTGCCTACTTTACTTGATCCAGGAAATCTCGGATGACTGCGTCTCTGGCTTTCACCCTTTGTTGTGCTTGCTCCCAACGAAAACGCCACTGCAAACCCCCGTCGAAGGGCACTATCTGAAGCTCACTCGCTTACTTTTTGAAGCTATTGTTTTACCATCTTTCTCATGTTGTTTCTCCAGATCAGCCATTTGGATTCTCAGGCGTTGGATTCTCAGGAGTTATCCTTGACTTTATCTTGGTACCCCTTTCTCAAGTCTTCAAGCTCAAAATAGACTCTTTTCTGCTCCCTTTCTAGTTTGTCTACTCTATCTTTCTGAGAATCGGCATCTAGTTTCCATTGATAACTTTCAGCTTCAAGTTCCTTAACTCTCTGTTTCAGCTCATTATTCACAGCTTCAAACTCTGCCTTGACTATCTCAAGTTCAGAAGGGACATGCTTGAAATGTTCCTCCATGGTCCGGGTGTCTTCACAGTCTGGCATCGGGATGCTATCATTCTTTCTCAATCTTCGCCACTCCATATAATCCAGAGTAAGCATATCTCTGGTAGCCACGACATCCATCCGGGATACTTTCTTCCATGAATCGAGTGCCTCTTTGATCCTCTTCTTATAACTGTCACCGTGATACACAAACTCTGATGTAGATAATCCGTATGTTGCTGGGAAAAAAAACGGAGCATACCCAACTACACCCTAAATTCCAAGTAACGTCATAGTGTCAGAATCCCCAAATCGGAAAAAAAACGTCACTAAAGAACAACCAGGAGGCTCTCCAAGTAATATCCCGGTCCTGAAGATGAGTGAAGACCTTCATCCATTCTTCCTTCGAAGCGCCTTCATGGTATTTCATAGTGATGAACTCTCCCAATGGTGAATATGTAGTGTTGAATCGGCGGTAGGCAACCCCGTTAGTCTTCCAGAAGTGGCTGTGAATCCAGACTTGAATGAGCTGGACACATCCAATGAACCTTCCTCCACCAGTTCTTCTGCAATGATTAAGTGATCGAAAGGTCTCGGCTAAGATGGTCAGCGCTGGGTTGACTCGCCTTGGAAGTTGTTCAAATAGTTCTACTACGGCTGCATCGATGCACCCCAAGGTCTTCGGAAAGATAATCAAACCGTACAGACCCAGTGCAAAAAGATCTATAGTCTTCCATTCATCAGGGTGGTTCTTCATTAGTTTCTTTATATGGATCCACTTGATTCATTCCCCGTTACCTTTGTGTCGAAGTCGATCAGTCACCCATTTTTCATCAACCCCTGCAATCTTATCTAGTTCGTTCTTGAAAGGCTGACTCTTGATGTGTTTGATATATGCCCTCTCTAGTATGATGTTTTCGCAGTGCAGTAGGGTAGTATACTCCTCGATGGTAGGTACCATGTCCTCTTGGTTAAAAGTGAAGCAACTGTATCCCGGGTTCCAGAATTGAACCAAGGCTCTGATTAAGGGCTCACCGGTCTTAACATGAAGCAAAAGTGCAATGTCACCATACCGCTGACTGAACTTCTGTTTTCGATCATTCTTCCAACTGTCCCAGATGTCTCGAAGTTCTTGCACATTGTTCTATTTTAGGCTGATAGGAGCATAGCTAACAAGCTCTGACACATAACTTCCTTGAAGATTGTCTCCCTTTTTCTCCGAGTCTTCTCGGACCATAGTCGTACCTTGGGGTTTTTAATCTCCTGTATTACAACACCTTTTTCCATTAATGCAGATTATTTATGGTTAACGAACACGTTTTTTGGTGTATCAACACCTCTTTAGAATGATGCAGATGATGGAAATAAAATAAAAGAGAGGAAAAAATGAAAAGAGTTAGTAAGGTAAAGATAATAATCAAAGCAATCATAAAAGTCCTACCCCACATGATATCTACCCCACATGATTATTATTTCTACCCGGACATGATCTCTATCCCGCAAGTTGATTTTGAGCAAGTCCTAACCGCATAAATTTCTAGTTCACATGTTTTGAACAGAAAGTAAAGTAGAAAATAATTTCAGCATCCTAGGGTTTAAAATGAGGTTTTGGGGTAGGCTCTAATTCTCCATGGTTTTTCGGTTTAGGTTCTAAAAACGGTACCCGAGTTCTCCTTGCTGGTGCCCCCCTTGGGCTTGCCAGACCCTTACTCCTAAACCCATCACAAGCTTGTGTGGACTAAGTTAAACTCGAGAGGACACATTCCCTTATGCCCGCACGGTGAATAAATTCACACGAAGACATAAGGTATATGAATCTCGAAGGCTACTTGCTAGGCCCGCACGGTGAATAAATTCACACGAAGGTGTCGCTTTCACCCCCACTTAAGACATGGTTTATAGCTCGAGTATAGAGCCTTAAATTAAAAAGATTTAAAGGTTGGAATCACGAGAAAACGATTAGTACAACTATTTACCCGAAAATATAATCAAAAAGTAAATAAAAAGAATCGAAATGTTTCCTTGAAATTTAAACTTACCCTTTTCGTTAAAAAGACAACTGAAATTACCTTAGCCTGACTCACTTACATGTCCCCAGCGAAGTCGCCAAGCTGTCGCAACCGTCTTTCGGTTGTGCCCCGGAATTGGGCTTCGACTTGAAAAATGGATTGGGAGTCACCACCGATCATTTACTTTATGAAAAGTGGGTTGATCGGATACCTTATTTCTTACCTGATATGCGTCTTACCAGTGATATGTCAGATCCGGGAGTCGGTTACGGTCAAGGAAGGATTAGCACCCTTGAATCGCCCTTTCGGTACTATGTAATTTCCAGTTGTCTTTAATTAAGAAAGTTGAAAGTTTACATTGAAAGGTAAAATAACGATCCAAAACTTACATTTGATTGATGAAAATGTACCCTTAAGAAAGTAAAAAAGCCATGTTAGATAAAATGGTAAGAAATTAATTAATTAAATTAAAATGAAAAGAAAACAAATTAAGTAAAATGATAAAATGAAGAAAGCAAAGATAAAATAGTAAGTAAAAAAATAATAAAATATATATAAAAAAGAAAAAGAAAATAAATAAAACAAATAAACAAAATAATAATAACAAAGTACGAATAATATATATATATAATAAATAAAAAAGTAAATATATAAATTAATAAATTAAATGACGAAAAGAGCATATACATATAATGGTAAAAAAACCAAATAAAGATAATTACAATATATATATATATATAGTAACAATACTAATAATGATAATAAGTAGTTTAAAAAGAACATACGCATATATATATAAATATATAACAAAATAAATAATATAAAAATATTACAAGAATAATAAAAAGAAAGAGAAAGTAAAAAAATATAATAATAATAAAATATAAAAAATATACATATATAATATAAATAAGTAGAATAAAAGGAAAATATAATAGTAAAAATAATAATAAATATAATAGTAATAATAAAAATAAAATGCAAAGAAAAAAAATATATATATATATATATTGGTAAAAACGTATATAAATAGAGAAAAATTAAAAAAGTGATAAATTAAAAATAAAATTATCAAGTATGTATATATATAAAAAAACTAATTAAGGGATTAAAATGAAAGGAATGTAAATTAACTGGGTAAATGTCAAAGAACATTGAAGATTAAAATCGGCAAAAATAAAAAAGTTTTCATTTTTTGATAGATTTTCGTACTCTCATTCTAAAAATATAATTTGTTTTTGCGAAATAGCCTCTAAGGAGCGTAGATCTGAAATCAAAGTTTCAAAAAAACTCCCTCTGGCGTAAAGAGTAAAGAGAAACAAACGAAAGATAAAAAAAGCTTTGACCTTTATTACTTCGAATCGTTTACAATAGCCTCGAAATCACTTTTTCTTTGCTCGTATTTTTCTGGCGTTCCTTTTGTGTAACTCCTGTCTGTAAAACGTGTGTACAATAGTGAGTTACAATGGCTATTTATAGTGCTTGTGGATCCTATCTTTAGGAGTTTAAATCATAGTAGAACTCTATCCTATTTTTAGGAGTTTGAATCCTAGCAAAATTCTATCCTATTTTTATGAGTTTGAATCCTAGTAGGACGAAAATATGTGCTGACACCCGAGTTAGCTGATATCGTTTGTAATTGAGGGTGGCGACGACGAGTTATCGGTCTCACCTCTGGCAATATGTGACTCTATATACGAACGGGCAACATCTAACATTGTCTCAATCTCTTTCTTGTACTGCACAAAGATGGTAAAAATGCTAAAGTCAACCTCTTCAAATTTTAAGGGTAATACGAAAGCAGGGAGAAAAAAATGTTTTCAATGTATAGAATTCGTCGATATGATCGGTGAAGACCATGGTTCAGCTATAGCAACACCTCTTCAACAGCGCCTGACTTAATTTTCGATTGCATCACACACCTTTTCTTAAAATGTGCACCTACAGAAAATCAAAACATCAATTAGTTCAATTCATTGATATTGAGGAAAAGAAAAGACATGTTTTCAAACTCAGAAACTGCTTGAAGATGTTCACTACTTTCATTATAGACTGATGCATGCATTAAGAGCTAATATCATGTCGGTATAACTTGTAATGAGAGACACAAGTCTCTGGAAGGCCTTATCTCAACAAGAGTTCGATTAGAAACAAAACTAAAGCCAACGCAAAAATGTCAAAAGATGTCCCCAAGGGGACACACCCCAGCCACAAGAACTTAAAGAGTCCAACTTTGAACTCTCAGATTGAGCTATGTGAAAGTAGCGAGTTGGAATTAGCAGAATGCTGGAGGGCTATGTTCATTGTATGCCATTGGTAGTTTGCTACCATAATCTCCATATGTATGACCAACTTGGAAGTCTCAGATTGAACTATGTGAAAGTAGCGAGTTGGATTTAGTAGAATGCCGGAGGGCTACGTTCATTGTATGGCCATTGTATGGCCATTGGTAGTTTGGTACCATAATATCCATATGTACCATAATAAATGTCACTTTAAAGGGAACAAAACTTACCTTCTTTGATATCTAAAGTAGATGAGTTTTCACCATTGGTCTCTGCAATCCATTGACAATGAACCTGATGCAGCACAAATACAATGGTGTCCATTTTAATGTTGAAACTAAAACATATATAATAGAACAGAAACAAGAAAACACCAGACACACACAAACACGAATATATAAGTTGATAATTCTTCCAAGAGGTTAGAACTGTTACTCATACGAAGTTGATAAGATGTCACTCATATATTTGGTTTAATCTTACATTGAACATAAATCTTTATTCATGTTGCCAGTTGGCAAGTGACCAGTTAATCTGCAAGATTGTCTGATCGTAACTGACAGGTATGGTCACTTATTTTAAATATCTGACACTAGAATATTTACCTTTAATTCCCTACTTTATATCATATGGGGAATTAACAGGAAAGGCTAAAAGATGGTGGTTATAGGTTATGATCAATACCAGTAAGAGTGAAGAAAGTTTACAAGCAATTTCATGCGAAGCCAGCTAGTGAACTTTTCTTTTTGGAAGCAAGTAAATTAATGTGTCAGCTCCAAAGGGATTTTTCCTACTCTGACAGTTTGAACACAAACTTCCCTCTTGATTGGACTTAGGGGAAGATAAATGCCTAATCAATAGCAGTGAGGATGATATGCAAGAAAGTTTATGAACAAACACATGAAAAGCCAGCAAGTGAACTGGTGTGTCAAAAGGATAGTTCCTTTTGCAATAATGAGTCTCACAATTCTCCTCTTGATTGGACTTCTGTTATGATAAGTTTTTGGTCGTGCATTATGGAGCAGATTAAATATTAATCATGTGTAATACTAATGTTAGTTGGAGACACACTTCCTATTTTGTAGTATATACAAAAATTGCATCCAATAGTAACAATGCTTTCACTAAAAGGGTTGATTTATTCTGTTTTTATGGATCAGAGTTCAGTTTATTTTCCTCAAAGAATATGACACAAATAGAGGAGGATTTTGTTGTAAGTAATAATCTGTGGTTATCTTTTATTTATTTGTTTGTTTTGGGATCAGAGTTTGAATTATTTATTCATTGGAGTGAGGAACCAAATCAGACCGAAAAATAATAAGAAAGAAGGGGAATATTGCTTGCACAGGCAACGGTGAGATTGTAGGGACCTTGCACAAAACAAAAATGTGGGGTATAAAACTATATTCCAAATCAAGAATAAAGATACCCAGCTAATACTTACTTCAAAGTAGGTGCCAAACGGAACAACATGTGCCTGTTGTACAGTTTCAAAAACCTACGAGAAGAGAGAAATTGAGTAAATTTAATTAAATCAACCAAACATAGAATCTAAAATAAAGATGCAAATGATGTTTTTTTCACTAAACATAGAATCAACCAAACATATGTATCACAAACATTGAAGTGTTTTTCATTAAATAAGCAAGACAACCTTAAGTTTATTAAATAATAAATTACTAAACAGACGAAAAAAATAGGTCATACAAGCTTTTTCTTATCTAATGATAAAACAAAATGTTGATCCTCAGTCATGGCACTGTCTGGAGGGCACATAGGATTGTTACAAATGGATCTGAATGTAATCTCTCTCACTTGACCTTCATATTCATCTGTAGCATGCCACTGTCCGATCTGAAAGTAGAACAGCATAGTGGGTTCACACTTTCAATTCATTCAACTAGGGATGAAGAAATCCCTGGGAAGATTACCACTAATTTATATGAGGGAAAAGATGTCATGTTTATACCATCAAAAGTTTGGAGATGTTTAAATCAAGTTTAACCTCGACAGTTGGATTTTACAAGAAATATAAATGATTCTAAGACGAGCATATCAGCATAAAATGCACAATAATACGAAAGGAGTGTTTAATAGAATAACCATGGGAGAATACTAAAATGATCTTATCTTACTGTAAGATTTTTGTCTTTCCGTGATGAGCGATATTCGTTTGTGAAATTAGAGTCATCACTCAATAATAAATTATAAAGCTTCTCAGTTGTGCAAGGAATTGCATCCTACAGGAAACATTCATGAATCATAAGCATAGAACTTCACATCATAATAAAATCCACAAAGGCAGAAAAAGATAGGATGCATACATTGTAGATACGAACTAGAACATGTTCTTTGATAAAAGGTATTTTTTCAGTTTTAGGTTTAGATTCTTTATCTGGAGAAGTTGGAGCTTGCCTTTTACTACTGCTCGCACGTAATGTTGATGCTGCTTGCACCAATATGTTGGCAAAATAAATCAAATAAATATATTTTTCATCTAATCAGTTGGTTCAAAAGAGGGGAAATTCACATAAATACAAGCAAACAAGGATTGAGACAAGAAACAATCATTTTGTGAGCCTAAAAGCAAAAAGTTCAGAGCTGTTGTAATATTTGCATTCACAACCAATTGTATTCACCCTACACATTCTCATTGATCTAACCATGTAACTTTGTTTCCTGGGTAGTTGAAACACATCATTGGGGCATATCGCAGTTGGAACACTGCCTCCTAAACTATATTGTATCAATTTAGTTAAGGACATCCCTTTATTATTCAGCTTTTACAATCTCTCCAGCCACATATTCCCATCTGTTCTTGTTTCTTTTACAATTTTAATCCTACTAGCTGAACACAAACCAGTATTTCCCTACCTCTTCAGCTTATATAAATAAATTTCCCAGTACCAATATTTCCAATCTTGATCTTTACCCCCTTTCTTTGAGCTCCCAGAGTATTCTCAAGTTCTCCAATCCATCACAAACAAAATTCTTCCTTTTTCACCCAATTTAGTGAGTTCCGATTACGGAAGTACATATATATATGGCTTCTTGAAAATGCATTTACAATTAAATTCTCCTCTCTATAGTAGATGGAGAAAACAATAAGAATAAGATTGTTTCAGCACTAGATTAATATCAAATGCCATCATTTTGGGGAGAATGAAAAGCATTCAGCTATTAATTTCAATGTTTCTAAAGATAATAGGAAAACTAATTTTTTGTCCATATAAAAGTGATAATAAAAAATCAAGATTGAAATTCTACAAAAGAAATAATCAAATAAGAAGTAACAGATCACAGGGATAACTTGCAAAAAAAACCTTCTTCTCAGCTTGCAACATTGCATGGTAGCTTTTTGTTGCACATTGTAATGATCGTACTGTGTGGTCCCTGTTCCAAAATGATGCAAATTTATACCTGACTCTGCCTGAAAAAAGAAGAAGATAGAAAAATTAACACACATTTACTCAATTCATGTTATAAACAGTCTCACTCATGCAATTAGGGTTACTCCTTACAATGTAATAACCTTAATATGGTTTTAAAATGAAAAGATTTCTGAATGGGAGACTGTAGAAAGGGGAGGGGGAATCGACCAGTACAAATGACCAAAATAGAAATACGTATAATTTTAAAGTTAAAGTATAGCAGTGGTCACTGAACTTTTCTAAAGCTTTCATTTAGGTCCCCTAACTTTTAAAACTTACAATACAATCCCCAAACATTTAGTCTATTTGCAATATGGTCCCCGACCGTTATACTATCGTTAGTAAGTTTGCAATATGGTCACTGAACTTTTCAAGCACTTGCATTTTGGTCCCCTAACTTTTAAAACTTGCAATACAGTCCTAAATTTCATTCTAAACCCCAAATTCCTTTTCAATCTCGAATTTCTTTTTTCGCTTCTCTCTTCTCATTTTCAGCATAACTTTTCAATCGGGGATGCATGAGAAATTCTAATATAACTTTGAATTATGTGGAGGTGTTGACATGAATAAGGGTCCAATAAGAGAAGACCCGACCAAGGGACTATCGAGACCATCAACGATTCAAGGTGTAATGTTAGATACAGGTCATCTCAGGTGAAACATAGATGTTCGATGAAATGCTTGTGAGAAAAAATGGGGTTAGAAATGCAGAGTTGACAAATATTACTAAGATGAACTAAATATCATTGTTGAAAGTCACCAACAAAACTGGAATTATTTTGTATAAATGGCATATAATAATTTCTTCGTTTAATCCTTGTGGTTAAAGATTTTCCAACAGATAATCAAATATAATGAAATCTCAAACAACGCATTTACCTCTCAGTCTCTTTCGCTCACATGCACTATCGTTTGGTTTTGGTTCTTCAATTTTTCGCCATGTAAAATTGTAAACCCAAGCAGTGCTCTGTCTTTCAGTTTTTTATTTACAAAAAAATGGGGGAAGAATTGTTGCAATGCAACACTGATTATGTTTATTTCTTAGCCTCTCCCCTCACTTGCAAAAAGGTATTTATTTTCTCTATTGGGCTATCTGGAAGTTTTATGTTTCTGGAACTACATGTCACTGATATGGATATTCAGTGTTAGTTTTGAACCAAAACCATCCAATTTTCTTTTTTTCTTCTTAATCAAAATTTTTAGTACTCCTTATGAAAGATATTCAGTCCATCAGAAAAGAAGTGAAATAGGGTCATAGGCTATTTTTTTTATCTTCTTGTTTTATTTTTCTTTAAATCAGGGAATTGGTTGTGAGTATTGACATAGTGAAATCACCAGGCTCAGTTCGAGAGACTACTGGTACTAGTTTACTGGGAATTGTATTGATCCGACCTGTGGTTTTCAGCATCCTGTGAGCTCGTATTCTTTTTAATAAGTTCATGTTGATTATGGGACTGACATATCGTGAACGAATTGGATTTTTTTCATGTTTTGAAAATTTTACAGTTGAATTTATTGAATTATAGCTTTATAAGACAATTCTGCATGTACGCAACTCGAAAGGAATTATGACAGGGTAGTATATTTGGAGCAGCTACTTGACCTTGTCATGATGCCTTTCGAGTTGCGAGAGAGACTGAGAGGTGAATGCGTTGTTTGGGATTGTATTATATTTGATCATCTGTTGGAAAATATTTACCCACAAAGATTAAACGAAGAAATTATTATATATCATTTATAAAAAATAATTTCAGCTTTGTTATTGACTTTCAACAATGATACTTAGTTTATCTTAGTAGTATTTGTCAACTCTGCATTTTTAACCCTATTTTTTTCTCACAAGCATTCCATCGAACATCTATGCTTCACCTGAGATGACCTGTATCTAACATTACACCTTGAATCGTTGATGGTCCCGATAGACCCTTGGTCGGGTCTTCTCTCAATGGACCCTTATTCAAGTTAACACCTCCACATAATTCAAAGTTATATCAGAATTTCTCATTTATCCCCGACTAAAAAGTTACACTGGAAATAAGAAGTGATAGGTGAAAAAGGAAATTCGAGATCGAAAAGGAATTTGGCGTTATAATGAAATTGAGGATTATGTTGCAAGTTTTAAAAGTTGGGAGACCTAAATGCAATTGCTTGAAAAGTTCAGTGACCATATTGCAAATGTACTAACGGCATTGTAACGATCGGGGACCATATTACAAATAGACTAAATGTTAGGGGATTGTATTGCAAGTTTTAAAAGTTGGGGGACCTAAATGAAAGCTTTATAAAAGTTCAGTGACCATTAGTATACTTTACCATAGTTTTAAATGAAAAAGAAGAGTGTTCCTTCAGAATGTGATATCACTGCATCTTTCTTTAATGGAAAAAAACCTTTTCTTGTTCAAGAATATAATTGAGCACAAAATGCAAAACAACCATCGAAATAAAATTAATACAAAAAATTAATGAAAAAATGTAAATTTTTGTATAAGACTGTAGTATTTTTCACGTGCCAACAAAGCACCACAAGATTGGTAGAGAAAACCTTTTGCCAACAGTTCACCACCAAAGTGTATACAAACTTGTAGGAAAGTCGGGCACAAAGTAGCATTGTTAAGTATCATGTAAAACAAGTAGCCATTGGAATGAAAATCCTAGAAACAAGAAAGAACTAGCGTAGTATGATATGTGATAAAAATAATGTTATAAACGTTATAGCTGAATGAGAAAACTTCTCCGAAATTTCTGAGGTCCAAAAAATCTTATATTTGAGATTCAATGTTATGTCTAAAGCTAAAAGAAAAATAATAAAAATCAGAACCGAATTTTATGATAGAAAATGCTAATAGGAAGAGAATATTTTTTCTTGAGAAATGTAGACCTAATATAATCTTTGTAAAACATAAGCACTAAATTTCAAAAAGGATTCGATAATAAATAACATATAAAGTTTCTGAAACATGGTGAGACATCTCTAAATGACACTGTAGAAAAAACTTTCGTATGAGGTAACCAAAATAGGGACATGTATTCCTCTATATGAAAATGGCTAATCCTCAGCCAACAAGTGATTGCATTGCTCAAGAAAATGAGCTTTGTAAGTCACTGGAAAAAAGCCTGAAGGTAGCATACTAGGCTGACATAAATGCTACCATTCCATGTTGTAGCACAACCACCTTCATTGTGCAGAATATGTATTTTTTTCCCATTAGATTCAGTCATTCCAAAAGTGGAGGACATCAACGGATCCAGGTCCAGCGAACCCAGGTGAGTAAAAATTTGATTCGGTTGCAGGTAAGAAGGATGCATAAGTACATTACCATGGTTGAAAGGTAAAGTCCAAAAAACAAATAGAAGGTAGTTATGTTGATCACCCAAACTAGAACTAATAGCAATAGGTGCAGAGGCCCTAAAATTGACCATCAACTGATCAAACCTAAAATTAACCGACCAATTAACCCAAAAAAATCAATTCGATCAATTAATTCGATTAAAACTGAAGTTTGAACACACGTAACCACAATGACATAAATTTTGAACCCAATGCTTATCAACCTCCTTGAAATACCTTTTTTCCAAAATAAATTTTACTTTTTTATTATTTAATCTCTTATCTTTGTGTTCCATTCAATTTGATCACTCGATTCAAATCCTTAAAATTTTTCTTCAACCAATTAAAAACTTGTCCTCATTCAAATTAAATTTCTCCTTGCCTCAAGAATTCACTTTTCTGAATATATTCATTATGAAATTTTCATTAAAAAAATCTAATAAAATATCTATTCAAATTATGACTCTAATTTTAGATTATTAAGAGTTTGTGTGGCAAAACAATATCAACATAAAACAAATTATCATAATAATTTCTTTCGACAATTTCAACGATCAATTTGAATTTCACATGAAGATGTAGATAACCCATATAAATGGCAATAATTGGATTGCTTAAAAGTGCAACATATTCATTTGACCTTTTATTTTAGTGGAAATTCAATTCAAAAGATACATGTAAAAACATAAAAATAAAATATATAATTCTTTTTTCTCATTAAAATTTTTAATCTTTTGATAAAGTAAAAAAAACAAAAATAATTCATCATACATAGAATTCATTTTCAAACATTATTTGTAGGTACATGAACAAAGGTCTTGGGATAGAAATATGAAAATTTTATACATTAATTAAAACCTAAACATCAAATCCTTCAAATCTACTTTCTTCTACTTATTCTTTCACTACACTCATAATTTTTTTTGTATACTTCTCTTTATATTTTTCACCTCTTTCTATAAGTCATTTGTTACGTCATAGTGATAAATTTTTAAACTTCTCACTATTTTAAAATCTTTCGTCTTCTCCAATTTCTCCCAATCTTCTAAAACTTCCTTTGATAATTAAATATTTTCATCAAGTTCCTTCAATTTTTGAAACTATTCTTTAACTTCCTTGAATTTCTTTTCCCTCAAAGCTTTGAAATAATTGAGCAGCAGACCAACTCATCATCTAAAGATGAGCTTGAATCATCGAAATCGTCAAAGTCGAAGAATCCATATAAACCATTCTAAAATCATTCGTAAATTTTTCCCACTTATGCATTTTTTTTCAATCTCAACATTATATATATCTATTTTTCTCTTCTCATATAAACACCTAAACAACAACTCCTATTTATATCCACAAAAAATTAAAAACAAAACTCAATATGCCTGAGAAATTCATCAGGTTGGCATGACGAATTTCAAAAATTAAAAAATCTAACAATTCTCATTTTAAAAATTTCTAATGACCTTCCATTTAAAATCCATTGGAACTCGACATGTCAGAATGACAAGTTCTATTATTATTTATTTTAACATAAAAAATTAAAACAATATCATATTTTACAAAATTATTTAAAAATAACCAAATAAAACTCGTTAGATAAAAATGATGAATTTCTTTAAATAACATTATAACATATACGCCATACATTATATATAATCAACATGATTTTCCTCATTTGGTTATTGTTGTAGCTTAACTTTTTTGTCTTTATGTTTTTTATCATGTGCTTATTGTTGTAACAAACTCTTTTGTTTTGTCTTTATGTAAACTTATTGTATGTATACATTTAGCTTTATTAACGAGATTGTACTTTATATTAATTTGAAAATTTTATTTGGAATAATAGGAAAAATATTTATCAATATTGAAATTCAAGATTTCTCTCTTTAATGATATCGTTTTTTCATTTTTAGGGTAAACAACAAGTTTAATATTTAATTATCACTTTTATTCCATTTTGGTCATTTAATTTTTTTAAAGTTATAATCAATGTTTAGTTTTGGTTTCATTTTAATCATTCATTGTTAAAAAAATTAATGGTGATGTTGACATGTCACCCACCATAAGGAAATACTACGTCATCATTGAAAAAAAATGTCACAACAGAAGTTATGTCGTTGGCGGATCTAGAATATTTTTTAGCGTGAGTATACATATATTAAGAACACAAAATTTTTGAAATGGACGAGTTAAACTTAAATTTCAGGGTGAACATCATTAGTAAAATAAGTAACAAAGTGAATAAAATTCAGACTTCATGGTAGGCACCTGCCTACCCTCAACACTATGTGGCTCTGCCACTGTTTTTGTTAATATTTTAACATTGGATGATTAAATAAAATCAAAATGTAGCATTAGGTATGATTTTGAAAAAAAAATAATTGAGTGACCAAAACAGAATAAAAGTGAAAATTAAGATACTAAAAATATAGTTTACCTTTTTTTAATATCAGCCGGTTTATTATTATTATTATTATTATTATTATTATTATTATTATTATTATTATTATTATTATTATTATTATTATTGATTAACCAGGTTAACTCTTGCTTCCTCCATACTGGCTTATTGTTGTAACAAACTTTTTGTTGTGAATTTATTTTAGGGTAAACTATACCAATGGTTATTAATGTTTTAGTAAGTTTTTGATTTCTCCATTGAAGTTTCTAAAGTAACAAAATAGTCACTAACGTTATTAATTTGTAAAAAAACGATAACTCCACCGTCATCCCATTAAATTGTTGACATAGCAACATTAAAAAAAGGTTAATATTTAATTTTATAGATTGTAAAGTAATCTAAGAGAATAAGATTGTTACATAACAAGACTATGAAAATATAAAATTACTTAAAAACACATATTTATATATTAGTTTTATATATAATACACAAATTGCTCAAAGTGGAACGAACCATTGGATATTAGTGGTTAAGAGATTTATTGTTATACCCTTAAGTCTCAGGTTTGAACACCGCGTATGCAAGGGTCCTAACATAGATTGTCAAATGATTGAGAATCTTTTGAACATATACTACCTTATATTCATCTCACATCTATCAAAATAGAAAATAGCACAAAGTGAAGATTTTGCATCATAGTCACAAATTGCATCCACTTTCTTCATCAGTAAAAGATAAAGTAGTCAATAAAGATTCATCAAGACACTTCAATTAATTGATCTAAAATCATCCTATAGCAGTTAAACACGTCCTTCACAAAGGTATGCATTGAGAAAGATAACCAGACCTCCGAAACGAATAGGGACAAATAGAATCACACTTGATTGCCGCCTAGAACCTCATTTAAATCACCTAGGTAACATGATTCTGAAGAGATGTCAAATTCAAACTCAAAATTCTCCCACAATAAATCATGACTCAACAAATAGATTTATGGTCTCGTTTCGGTCAGTCTTACACACGAAGGAACCATTGTCCACCAGAGATCGGTTGGATTGCTTTCACTCATAAGTCTCGAGTGAAGACACTCTATGAAATTCTCTCGATCAGGGAAAATATTATATATCTCTTAATCTCCTTCGTAAGTCACAATTTCGTTAGCATTTCTCTTCATACCAAGTCTCAATTGGAACCTATCCATATATATTCTATTTTTCTCATCAAAATTTTAATTGTTTGACTAAACAAAATAAAAAAAAAAACTTCATACATAGATCCATTCCCAACCATTGTTTGTAGGTACATGAATAATGGCTTTGGGATAGAAATATGAACATCACATAATTAATTAAGATGTCATTGTTTAGACCTATTTAAAGACATAGTTATTCTCCCAAGCTCTTCTAAAAATTGAGAGGGTTTGGATAAATAAAAAAAATTAAACTTTCTTAAAATATAAATCAATTT